AGCCCAATTAAAACTCTGGATTTCATTTATAGAAGTGATGAGGTCCATCACATAAATCAAATCAATCTCTTGCTCAAACTCTTGAGTGAACCTTCTGGAATTTTTGTGAGGATAATTAAGGAACCAGCTGATAGACACAAAAGGTCTTGTCAACCAAGTTCAAAAAGGATGTGGCTCTAAAACCCGCTGTGCTGTGGCACTGAGCTGCTTTGTGAAGATGAGAGGCTACAGAGTTTCGTCTTTTTAATCTCAGTTGTGGTAACAATAGGAATGTCAATTTAAAGAACGTTTTTATTTTATATCCATGAATATAGTTCACTGTTCCAAATTGTTTTCTGAGAGTATGTCCTGGTAAATTAAAAAAAAAAAAATCTCTCCTGTTCAGTTTTATATGGTAGTATATACATGCCTGAGATCTCAACAGGCATGCGCAAAGGAGTTTCTCTCCTTTGATGAGAATGGAGCTGTTAGCGCCATTCAATACACAAACACTAGTGCCTTCTCCTACCTTCAGTGTGCTCAAAGTGTGTTTCTCATCTTGTCCTGCCTTTTCCCTGGGAAATGGTGTCCCATTGGGCATGGGAGACACGTTCCCTGAGTCCCCTTCAGTGACCTTGAATCTCCTCTCATTTCGCACCCAGGTGTGGAAAGATGCTGCCACTCAGATTTTCTTCTCTTTATCTGCCGCCTGGGGAGGCTTGATCACTCTGTCCTCTTACAACAAATTCCACAACAACTGCTACAGGTATGTGGAGCCACTCAAGATCTCAGAGGAGGCCAGTGAGCAGGTCTGGGGACAGGACAGTGAATTGGGTGATCAGAAACTTCAGGCCATTTCCTCACTATTTACCTGAGGGAGAGTCAGAGAGCTGCCCATGGCACAGGTGAAACCCTTTAGTCAGGCCCAGCTCCTGGCTGCTGCTGTCCTGGGTGCATTTGCCCTGCTGACTATGACACATGGCTCAGGGGGTCTAATGGGGTGCTGTGTCACTAGCTGAGTCCTGTGATAGTCATTTGCCAGCTAGCCAGTCCATGGATATGGTGTATGGCTGTCACTGATGAAGTATAGTTATTCAGCCACTCAACAAATATTTCCCCAGAGACAGTGGAAACATCCTGGTAATGCACTCATTCACTAGATAGTGGGATCTTGCCACAATGTATATCAAATCATCACTGTATACTTGAAATATGTAATGATTTTACTTGTCAACTATACTTCCATACAGCTGAAAAGTATTGCAAACTTTGAGTCTCCTCCCAGGTCTATTAATCAGAACATTTCAGAAGGTGTCGTAGGCCTAGGAATCTCCATATGCAGACAGGATCCTCAGGGGATTCTGATGCACAGAGACAGTGGGAATATTGGGGTAGGGCAAGGTGAGGCCTGGTGCTCTGAAACCTAGAAGACCACCTGAGAGACCGTGGGCAACAATAGCAGCAGGTGACATCTGAAAGTTAAATACATCTGTGACAAGGAATAAGAAAATAAAGCTCATCTTCTCAGTGAACTGATTCAAGAAGGAAAGAAGGAGGGAGGCTGGGAGGGACATCCTGGACAGATGGACTTGCATTTGGATTATGATTTCACCGTTTAGTGAGACACAAGGCACAGGCTTAATGTTTCTCTTCTCTGAGCCTCACTTTTCCCTGTAAAGGCAGATTATATTATTTTGTTGAGAGGCAAGAGATGATCTATACAATGTTCTCAGAGTAATATTTTTGTACATAGTAGGTGTTCAATAAACAACAGCTGTTATTAGTAATTTTTGAAATAATGTGTAAAATATTTTGTGCACCCAGAGGAAAAGGTTACAGTTAAGGTGTGGCCTCGGAAGGCTGGGATGGCTTCACAGAGGTGAGCTCTCCCCTGGGCCCCGTTTAAGCAGGTGTGAGAAGGAGAAAATGTATGTTAGATAATGGAAGCAGCTAGAGGCAGAAATGAGTGGGAAATGGCATGATGGAGATGTGAGGTCGGAGCCGGTCAGTGGGGTCAGAGTAGAAGGTGCTTGCATCCAGAAGGAACCTGAGAACTGGCTGAGGCCATTTAGACAGACCCTGTGATTCTTTTGCTCTGGCTGCTATAACAGGTAGCATTGAATGGGTGGCCTAAAGAAAAAAAGTTTATTTCCACACAATTCTGTAGGTTAGAAGCCTAGGATGAAGGTGTTGGCAAGGTTGATTTCATCTGAGGCCTCTCTCCTTGCTTGTTGATGGTCCTTCCCCAGTGTCTTCATGTGATTATCCCTCCATGTGTGTATCCGTGTCCTCATTTCCTCTTGTAGGAACATCGGGCTTATTGGATTAGGGCCCACACTAATGATCTCATTTTAACTTAATTATGTCTTCAAAGTCCCAATCACATTCTAAGGTATTGGGAGTTAAGACTGCATTATATGTACTTTGGGACACATAATTCAGCCCATAACAGCTGGAATGCCAGAATAAGAAGTTTGAGTTCCTTTGGTCATAATCTCTCATTAAACTGTGACCCAAAATTTGTGACCCAAATCTTTACCCCACACCGAGGAAGGGTAAAGATTTGCTCTGGGCTTTGCTGGAAATGAGGCTGTGTGGTGTGACAGAAAGAACGCAGGTCTGAGAGGCAAGAAGTCTGGATTCAAATTCTCACCTGCCTTAGTTAACTCATTCCCTTCCCTGGGCCTCAGCCCTGTCATCAGGGGTCAAACCAGGTGGGCCATTCACTGAGTCCTGCTGTGTAGGCATCATCACAAACAGCTGTGAGGAGGTTCCGGTCATTGTCCCCATCTCAAATCAGAGTAGAATGAAAGTGACTTGCTCAAGGTCATGCCACCAGCCTGTAGGAGCACTGGAATTTGAATTTGGCTTCGGGATGCCACCTAGCAGGAACCTTAGCCTGCACAGGGCAGGATGGCACCACGGGCATACTGCCAGCAGAGGGCACTGGGGTGTAGACAGAGCCACTGGCATCCCCCCTGGCCCTTCTCAGCCTGTGTGCCCCTCCCCAGCCTCACCTCTTGATGCCACTTCCTGGCACCACCACCTTCCCTTCCCTCACACACAGGTCCTATCCTGGAGTTTCCATCATCCATCCCCTCCATTCCTGCTCTGATGTCAAACTTCCCTCTGCCACTTCTTCAGCCCCATGTCTACATTCATAAATCCTAGCGATCTTTTTGAACCTTTTGGGGCTTTATACATCAGCTGTAGGGAGTAGAGGGTCAGAACTGGTTGTTCCTGTCTTTGTGAGTAAAAGAAAACGAGGCCATTCACAGTGGAGCGTTTAGACTGGCACGCCCCATGTCCACGCCCAGATACACAGCCCTGTGCCCTCCCCCTGGGCCTGCCAGCTCCCGAGGCACACCTAACGGGCACTCTTGTCTCTTCCCTCCAGGGACACTCTAATTGTAACCTGCACCAACAGTGCCACGAGCATCTTTGCCGGCTTCGTCATCTTCTCTGTGATCGGCTTCATGGCCAATGAACGCAAGGTCAACATCGAGAATGTGGCAGACCAAGGTACAGTGAGGCTGTCACCCCGCTGTCACTAGGGAGACTCCAGGCCCACTTTCCAAGGTCCTAGTTTTTGCTCTGCTGAGAAGTTGGCACTCGGGACCACACTGGCAGCGAGACTGGCACAGGTCACACAGGGCTGGAGCTGGCTGGAGCCCTAACCACAAGTATCGCCCAAAGCTTCTTTCCTACGTGCTCTCCTCTCCCTCCTCTTTCCTTTGCCCTCTTAATTCAGCGAGGGTCTGAATAAGGAAGGTGTCAGCACAGGCTCATCAAGCCTGTCAGTGACCTTGACCTGCCGTCCAGCCACTCAGGCCAGCTTTCTCTGCAGAGGGCTCTCTGCAGAAGAGACTCAGTTGAAACTGAGCACTCGTGCTTAATAAGACCTGTGAGTTCTTTTCCTTACAAAGCACTTTTCCCAATTGGTAGGTCAAATGTGCTTCCAGGGCCTTCTGCTTAGTTAGCATTGCCATCCTGAATTTTCCCCCAGTGTGAGGAAGGGCTGGATTCTGGTGTTGGTGCAGAGGATGTATAATACCTGTTTACTCTCCACCCAAGCCACCCCTCTATTATTGCCTAACATTTGCATGATATTTTTGAGCTTACAGTTTTTGTTTTTTTCCTCATTGAATCTGCATTTCTAGCTCAGCATTTTGCAGAGAGAGAGTTTTCAATCATTTTACTTAACTTTATTTCCATCTTATTTTCGAGAGGATTTGGGTATTTAGCATGTTTCAGTGATGTAGGGACGTTGTTGCTGCTATTACTTATCGTTATAACCCTTATAATCATCTGTTAGAAGCTGCTTCAGTGTGGGGACTGTGCCAGGGCCCAGGGGATGGTCACTGTCACTCCTGAACAATTTGGAGCGTGTCCCTGTGAGCAGCTTCTCCGTGTGGATCTCTCTCTTCCAGAGCTCACTGTGATGCCTAGATCACAGCTCCGGTGAGAGCACATGGCAGAACTGAGCCCTATGTCACCTTGGTGACAGCCAGCTCTCTTCTAGCTCTTCAAGGAGAAGTAACTACTGCCTAGATGGGCTGATCCTGCGTTTGGGCCATAAAGAGTTACAGAGCTCAAGGGCTGGTAATGACCTCTCCCTGGAGAGAGTATTAAGATCCTGGGGTATTTGGTTTGCTACAGGGCACTAAATTAGCGGGGCTCCCAGCTGAGCTGATGAATGCTCCTGGGGTTGGGACTGCTCCAACTCCCTGGGGTGCTGAAAAGGGAGAGAGGGAAGAGAGGATTTCACTGCAGGGGTGCCTTTGCCATCCCAACTGTCCTCATTTCCTCCCTGCAGAATAGCTGAAGCAGGCAGGTCCTGTCCCACTTTGTATCGGGTTGTGAAGGGTTTTGCTATTTTGGTGACATTACCGAGTTCACTGCCAGCCAGTGTCCGACTTGTGGGAGAGGACTTTCTGCATCCCGGGCCGCATTAGCTCACGCTTCTGAGCAGTTTCTTGTCCCAGACAAGATTTGGGTGCACATGCCTTGAAAACCCTAATAGAAGTTTTACATTTACATAGAAAACATCAGATAGTTGTCTGGGTTTTTTCTGAACTTCCTTTTTTTCAGATTTTTGTTACTTTGGTTTTAACAGAAGGCCACTTCAACAGACTCTAACAGTGTGTTAAGACTTGGTAATGTCTAATTGTCCCAACATAGGGACAGAGGCCCTCATTCCCCGTAGGGGCAGGTGAGTGGTCTGTGAGGCCATCTTACAAATCCCAGGGAACAGCTATCCCTGCTAATCCGAACCTGGGTTTGCAGCCTTGTCTCAGCCACTAACCCACCCCCCTGACGTTCCTTAACAGAGGGTCTGAGAACTGGGTGGTGATTGCATTAAATACCAGCCTCTTCCTTCCTAGGCAGCACTGGCATGTAGACTTTCAGTAAGGTTTTGCTGACCCAACATGAACAACTACTCTACACTTACTAACAGATTACCTTGGTCTGTAGTCAAAAACAAAACCACACTCCCTGTCTCTTTTATTGTTCCCTTCTAAGGGAGGCATTTTCTTTAAGTTCATATTCAAAACCTCAGCCTTAGGGCCTTAGGGTTTGTGTGGGCCTTAGGGTGTGGGATAAGTGATGAGACCAGGCCTTCCCCTGCTTCTATGCTGGGTGTAGGGAAGGGGTCATCCTCTTTTCAGGCATCTATTCGGGAGAAGCTTCTTCTGGGAAGTGCATCTTCTACAACCATCTCCCTGCCATCTCCATGGTTATCTGTGCAGTGGTGCTTGACTCAGAACTAACCCAAGCCCCAAGGTGCTCCTCCATCTGCAGTGAGACAGGCTTAGACCAGAGGAGGTGAACACAGATGCACCGAGTGCATTTGAGTTCCCAGATCTGGGGTGGGGGGAGGAGGGTAACCCCAGGGAACCAGACCATGAGGAAGTACTGCCATGGATTCCTTGCACCTTGAAAATTCAGTTACTGAGCTGATCAAACAGGCCTGACCATCCACCAACCATCAGTTCTTAAACTGAAGCCCAACTCTTCTTCTGCCCTGGGCACAGGGACGCAGGAGGCACATTCTAGAGAACACACCCAGCCCTCTGTGACAGGGGCTTCTCCTGGCTGCAGGTCTTGCCTGCTGCATTGACCAGCATCCCCGGTTGTATCATTGGCAGCTTTCTAGGATAAAAGAAGCTGTCACCTTAGTCTCTCTGCAAGTCCTTAGTCTCTCTACAGAGCCTCTTGGGACCCTTTTCCTGGGAAGCAGAACAATGGTCTATGTTTGCTGAGTTCTCACAGCCCTTGACTTATGTGTATCAACACATTTAATTCTCACAATATTTTTATTATTAGCTCCACTGAATGGATAAGGGAACGGAGGCCTTCTGGAAAGAACAAGTCTCCCTGTGGACCCACAACTGGTAGGACACAGAGGGGCCTGGCCTGCACTCCAGCCACTGGGCTGTACTGCATCCAGACAGTGGGGTGGGGCTGTGTACAGCCTCCTCAGCCAGGCTTCCAGACCTCAGCTAGGAAAACTTGCTCAAGCTCGATGATGCATCTTTTGGGGGGGGGGGAGGGACAAAAAACATTTAAACTCCACAAAATGCTATAAAAATGTATTTTTAAAATCCATTCCCAAGCCATCTTAGATAAATGGAGGTTGGTGAAAATGATGCCTTCACCTTGTACTTTAGGGAGGCAGCTGAAATGGAAGCAGGTCGAATATTTTGAAATCATTCTCCACCCTGAAAAAGCAGTTAAGGCCCAAAGGGCCAACTCCTGTTAAAGCCATCAGCCGGGGTCCTCCGGTGGCGGCCATTTCAAGACCTTCGTGTCCACTTTATGGGCCTACTGTGGCCAGCGTGCTGAACTGGCTGCCTCGGGTTCTGCATCGGAGACCTGTTTTGAACTGTGGTTTAATGCAGACTTCTCGTTTATGGCTCACATAGGGAACCTTCAGAGACTGTTCTACCGTCTGTTCAATAAACGCATAAAGCGGAGGTTTCTTAGGCATTGGAGGCTTTATATTTTAAATACCCCAAGGCCCTAAGCAACATTAGACACTAACAGCCTGATAAATTCCGGTTTAAGAAAGTCCCGTTATGTTTAAGTTATAAAAACTCCAGGTGCTGCGATTTCTGGTTTCCAGACATGCCCTGGCTGTGGATGTTGCTTACTCATCCCTGCCCATTATCATCTCCTTTTCTACCTACAAGGAAATTCTCAGCGGATGGGGCTTTAACCATCAGGGGTCACAGTAATCTTCCCCGGAGGCCAAGAGACAGACAGAAATGGCCCGATGAGAGCAGAAAAGGCTGCCCCTTAGACATCTCCCCTGAGACCTGGGGTAGTATACTTGTGATATTCAGAGTCAGAATCGCCAATCTGCACATTCGTTGTCCACTCATAATAAAAGCTAATATTCTGTGAGTGAGAATGAGGAGTGAGGCACTGGTCTTAGCACTCTACCTGAATTTCCCAATTTGTTTTTCATAACCACTCTTTGAGATACTGTTGACGTCCCAGCTTTATTTTTTTAAGATTTTATTTATTTATGCATATAAGAACTGGAAGCATACAAGAGGTGTGGGGGTTGAAAGGATTCATCAGAGACAGAGTGGGGAAAAGAACAGGCAGCCTGACAAAGTACACTGCTTAAGGGAGCAGCAGGTGGGACAGGAAGTCCACGATACCTCATGGATCACCTCGCTGGCCAGGAATTGAACTCATGCTGCAGTGGCTGAGGATAGTTTCATAGTGCTGTGCTTTAACCCAATATGCCACCAGGGAAGAACCAACATCCCTGCTTTAGAAAGCGGCATAATTGAGGTTTTGAAAAAAGAACTTTCTAGAATTATACAGCTGGTAAGCCCTAGAGGCTGAATTTGGGTCCAAATTTGTCTGATAATTAGAGCTCAAACTCTCTTAACCCTTTTACTGTACTTTATCACCTCCTTTTCTCCAACAAATTACTAGGTGACAGATATAACCCCATCTGTACCAGACCTTTGCAGGGCAAGATCCTATCAGCATTAGATGAATTCACATTTTATAGGTGATATCATTCTGGGCATGTTCTAACCTTTAGAGAAGGACTTCTGAACCTCAGCACTGCTGACATTTGGGTCAGATGATTCCTAGTTGTGCAAAGAATATTTCTTTGCTGCTTTGTGCTTTGAGGGATGCTTAGAGCACCCCTGGCCCCTACCCACTAGAGGTCAATGATCTGTCCTCCTTCTCACACCACCGACACCCCAGTTGTGAGAATCAAAAACATCTCCAGACTTTGCCAAATGTCCCCTAAGGGGTTGGAGGCAAAAATCACTCTTGATTGAGAACCATTGTTCAAAATGATAATTGCTAACACTCGCCAATACAACCATGGCACGCAGCTTGGCCTTGAACTCTGCGTTTCTGCCTGGACACAATTTTTGAGCCTTTCCTCTGAGTTCCCCCAGGTCTAACCCGAGTTCTCCTGTTCTTCTCTTCAAAGACCTTAGGTCTAGTCGGAAAAATGGATGGAAATCAGTCAAAACATAACAAATATAATAACTCAGAATCTCTTGGGGAGTGGATGCATGGGCTTCCAGGAAGAGGTGACTTGACCCTGAGCCTGTCTGCAATCATTTGTCTTGTTTCTTCCAGGGCCAGGCATTGCATTTGTGGTTTACCCAGAGGCCTTAACCAGGCTGCCCCTCTCTCCATTCTGGGCCATCATCTTTTTCCTGATGCTCCTCACTCTTGGACTTGACACGATGGTGAGCCCCTCAGCCTCCTTCTGAAGACTTTCCTCTCCTGGGCCCTGCATCCAGCAAGTGGCAGGGGCTTGAGGGTAGACCTCGCAGTTTCTGAGTATTTCCCAAAGTGACATAAGGATGGCTCAGTAACCTGGTACTTGACCCAAAGGAACAAACCTCCCTCGCTCTGTCCCCTCTTCCATTTTCCATGCCAAGGTTTAGCCTGTGTACATCCTGCTTTGATGTCATTTTGCCAAAGCAAATTCTGTGGGCTGAATAAGGGAGAATAATAAGAAGTCAATTTGAGGGAAATTGCCCTGGGGCTGAGACTAGTACAAATCATGCTGACAGGCACTTGGAGTTTAGTAGTTGGGTGCAAAGAGGGGTTTTCCTCAAGTTGAAGAGGAATTTACATCTCATGAATACAAAGTGGTGCTTAACTGCCTTCTGGATGAGAGAATATGAGTGCTGTCTCCCAGGGCTGGCAGCACAGTTTCTAGAGCTCATACCCTGCCCGGATTCCCTCACTGGCCTTGTGGGTCGGACCCCAGCAAGGCCTTTTAGCCTCATCAGAGGAATGCAGCCCTACAAACTGAACCTAGTCCTAGCACCTCTTTCCTGATGGGAAATACAGAAGTGTTTGGATCCTCCTGGGCTCTGCAGTCTGTGTCAGAGGCCTGACCACTAACTCTATTCCAGTTTGCAACAATCGAGACCATCGTGACCTCCATCTCGGATGAGTTCCCCAAGTACCTGCGCACTCACAAGCCGGTCTTCACACTGGGCTGCTGCATTTGCTTCTTCATCATGGGCTTTCCCATGATCACTCAGGTGAGCGGACACAGCTTGGAATCTGGGCAGGTGGGATGGCTGCTCCCTGCTTTCCTTCTACTGTGAGCTTTGCGACAACAGCCACTAGCAACATATGACACAGTGACACCATTGCCATTTCCAAGTAGAGGATGCCAGCTCATTAAGAGTTCTGACCACAGAGGGAAATATGTCACCTTGGCACCTAGTGACACTTCTAGCATCTTCATAATTGAGATGTATGCTACTTGAGCCAAGGAGGCAGGTGTGTCCTACTTTAAGAAAATGGAATGCCTGAAAATCCCAATCTGTAGACCAGAGGAGCTGCCAGTGCGCTGCTCATCACATGCAAGCCTCTGCATTCCTGCTAGTCCTGAGGCCTTTGGTAAACTGAGGTTAGCTCACTCAGGATATGTCTTGTTCTTGCTACCTCTGACCATGAGTGAGTCAATATTTCAGGATGGAGTGTCTTCATCTGTAAAATGAGGAATTGGAACGAGATGGTCCCTATGTCTCATGCAGTGTAGAGAGACTTACAGAGTGGTATAAAGTTGCATGGGGTTGGGTGAAGAGCACCAGCAACACATAAAGGTCATGTGAAGGTCAACCAGATAGGCACATTGGTTGTTTAAAGCAAAATCAAAGCTGTGCAGCACTTTCACGTATACATGTTTAGACACTGACCTTTGCCTGTTTAGAGTACTATGTCAGGTCATTTTTCTGTACTTGTTCTATTGATTATTTTAGAGTCTTCTGGGGGAGAGGTGCTGCTTTGCTAAGTGGCCAGCCTACAACTCACAGGTTACTGGGCCAGCTTCAGGTTTCTGCAGTCTCAAGGAGGGGAGACCTCAGCTTGCACCTGGCTCTCTTAGGCTAGAAGGACTGACTGTTTGAAGTGGAGAGAGCTGAGGGCCAGGCCTATTGATTTTGTTGCTTCTCTTTCTGTTAGGGTGGGATTTACATGTTTCAGCTTGTGGACACGTATGCGGCCTCCTACGCCCTCGTCATCATTGCCATCTTTGAGCTTGTGGGAATCTCATATGTATACGGTAAGGAAACACCAGTGCCTGCCGCTGGTGGTAGCACCGGCCAGGCATGCAGGGCAAGCTGACTTGACTTATTTACTAAGACAACAAGCACTTATTCTCCCTTATTTAATAAGACAATGAGAGCTTATTCGCAGCTACTCAGGAAACATCAGAGAGTTGCACCTTTATTTCCGAACTTGTCTCTGGACCACCTTGATCCAGATTTAACAGAGAAACAAAAGGTGGCTGATGGTGATACCAAAAACTCATTGTATAGCACTCCTCTCATCAGTTCAAGGCCTGGAGTATGGTCTAACAAGGCGCTAGCCAGTACCTGGGGGTGTAGCCAGATTAGGGAGGAGGAGGCCACTTGTAGGTGTGAATTTACTTCCTGACCTTGCTAGCTTCTGTCTTCACATGGCTTGAGGGGTAGAATAACTTCACTGTGGGTTCCTGTGGTAAGAAAGAGACCACAGGACTCACAGTTCCTTAGGAAACTTTATTAGCCTCATAGGGGTCTCTTAGGTGAGATTTCCATCCCAGCTGTTGCCAGTCATAAATGCCCAGTTCCCTTACTTTAGTCCTGCCATCCCAGATCTATAATCAGTAGGGTCTTTATCAAGTATCAGTAGGGTCATTATCAAGAATCAGTGGGATCATTATCAAGAACAACAGGAATATTAACTTGGCTGATGGCACTTTTGTCCCTGGGGTAGAGTGTTTGGGCTTTGGGGGCTTCGCTCTGGGTGGGCTCCCAGGTTCTGGGAAGGCTAATGAGCTAAGCAAGCCCTGTGGGAGCAGAAGCACTGCTGACTTCTGTCTTGGAGTCTGCCTAGAGTTTCAGCCTGGAAGTCTGTCCCTACACAAAGTAGATAAGGCCTCTGGAGCAAGTGCCAAAGTGCCAGGAATATGTGAATATTCAATTGTGGCAGCTTCTTGTTTCCTCCACCTTGTGCCCTTTCCTTCTTCTAAGCTAACCAGTTACCTCTCTGTTGTCACAGGGCAAACATCATTAAAATAGAAGACTTTTAACATCTCAGTGTTTACAAGTTAACTAGAAGCTAAATAGCTTTCCCCTCTCACCCCTCCCAAGGACAGCTTTTTTGGTTCTGAAGGGAAAGATTAAAAAACTCTGAGTGTTCCAGGCCCTGGACTATGCTGAGCTTCCTGGGGACGCCTCAGGGGGTCACCTGATCTGTAAGTGGGCCACTGCTGGGCCAGCAGGGGGAACCAGGTCCACACCAAGCTGTGCTGCTCTCCGGTAGAACCAGATGTTCCTTGGCCAGATGTGGCTGCCCCCTCTGATTGGGTCTTGGCTGGAGTTCTAGGAAGTGAATATATTTGAAATAAGCTAGGGTATTTGTTAGCAATGAAAGGGAAAACCTGCACTGATACATAGTTTATTCTCCAAAGTACAGTGCACAGTTAAGTTCTTTTTGAGAAATAATCGACACATAGGACTATATTGGCTTCAGGAGTACATCGCAATGATGGTCTATTTGCATATATTTTGAATTGATCTCCATAAAAATTCTTGTTGTTGGGGGGGTGCTTCTCACAAATGCAGGGTTAACTCCAAGGAGTTGAATGTGAACCTGTGAAGAACAAAAATGAGCCCAGCGATTTGCTGACCTACCATCCCAACTACAGAATTTAAAAAATAAGCCAGTGAGTCCCAGATGTTCGTCTTCTCTTTTTTGGTTCCAATAATCTCTTGCCTCTAGATTCCAGAGATGTCATCTGGCCACTGAAATACGGCAGGGTTAACTTTTATGTTTTAACTTTCGATTGAAATAGCGGATTCAGGTTCTCAAGTCAACATTCTTCAAAGGCCGATCTCTGGGCTTGAGGTTTCATATTTTATCTTCTCTTCATTTTCTGCAATGAAACAAAACTTGTTTTTGCAGTCAGAAATAGAAGCTTTAAAATTTACCTCATGTGATAATAAATATGAGAATGAGAAAATCATTCACCTCGGAGCGGGGTTAGTTGCAAATGCTGTTGCTTTTACACAAAAGGTGAACAATGCTCCCTGGAACAGAGACTCATAGTAATCAGCGGATTTACTGCAGAGCTCCCTGTATCACATGCTATCCAGGTTTAAAAGTGACGCTCCTTGAGTCTGCCATGGGAACATTCCTGTTAGCCGACTTTTGCTGAAGTGGATTCCCTTTGAAAACAGTCTTTGAATTGTCCTGGTAGTCAAGAGGGCATGCTTTGGAGCTGGGGCGTGCAGTGCAAGGAAGCAGCCCCCCACCCTCCCTGCCCTCACGCTCTCTGCTTGGCTTTCCGTGGTGTATTTTCCTCTAGTGGCATTTGTGACTTGTCTGACTCTGTTTTGATTGTTGCCCATGGTGCCCCAGACTGCCTTTCTCTGCCTCCTTGTGAGGCATGCTGGGTTCTTACCAATTCTTGTGGTTGATCCTGAAAACCAACAAACAGACCCCAAAGAGTCTCCCTAGAACTCTACAAATGCAAGTTTCTTCTCGGGTCTCCAGGAGCCTCCTCCTTTGCTCCATCTTCACTTACATTCTTTGCAGAATGGCCCCGGCCACCTCTCAATCAGGGTGCCCGGGTGCCCAGGCTCCCTTGTCTGGGGCCCAGTGTGCAGAGACAGAGGCTTCCCGTCTGCCAACAACATTCCTGTTAGCAGACTTTCGCTCAAGTGCATTGATTCTTTTTGAAAACATTATTTCACTACAGCCTGGGTGAACGCCTTTGAGTTGCAGGCATTTATTAAGCACTTACTGTGTGCCTGCGTGCTGCAAGGAAAGTGGGAGGGCAGCAGTGGTTACTCGCCAGACTGCACCTTGCCCCGAGCTACCAGGGAGAGCGGACAACCTGCTGAACTCTTGGCAAAGAGGTCAGCACTGAGCCAAGCTTCCCTGGCTAGGAGCACCTTTGCTGCCTAGACATAAAGGAGGGCCAGACTAGTTGAAATCTTGAAAGGTGGCACCTCACAGAGACACAATAAAGACTGAGACTCAGTGAGTGTGAAGTTATGCTAACGAAGGTGGGGAAACTTGAGCCAATGCCTAGAATTCTGGTGCTCCGGGAATGGCCTTTCTAGTAACTGGCAATAATTTGAGGTATACCAGGACTCGAGGCATAATGTCTGGGACCTAGTGGAAATCATAGAAGTGGAAAAGTTTGGAGATTCAAGCTGTCACAGGACAGCTTTAATCCAGGCTTGGGCCCCGTGCAGCCACTGGAGCCTGGTTCTGGCCACACCACAGGGAGAGCAGCTCCCTTCTTCACCCCCAAGCCATCTCCAGGCCAAAGGCCAGTGTGGTCTGTAAAGACAAGAGCCACAAAGCTGCCCAGGTGATAGTGATGGTTTGGGGGTTGAAGTAAGTCTGTGACTTCCCACCTTGTGATTGGCTGGGTACAAGAAAACTTGTTGTGGGCTGATTCCTAAACTGTAGAATCTGTTTCTGGAGTCTGTAAGAGTGGCCATGAGTTTGCCACCTTTTGGTGTGTGTGTCCTCCTGCCTTTCTGTTAACTCAGACTAGCTTTCCAGAAGCAGTTGTTCAGATCCCTTTTGGGGTCCCGACTCCTTACCCTCTGGGCACAAAACCATGCCGCAGGCAAGCCTCCACGTGCCTGCTCTGGCTCCATAGGCTGTTCCTTTACTAAGAGTTAGGCTCTGAAAGTAAGAGAGATTGGAGTCTGTGGAAAGGATAGGGAAGACAGAGCAAGTCATATGGACCAAGCCTGAAGGGACCGTAGGCTTTGAGTCAGGAAGGGGTGCTGGTGGGGGTGGCGTAAGTCAGGGAGGGGGGACAGGAGCTGGAGCCAGCAGGGAAGCAGCTGGACACAGTGACCCGGCAGGACGCAGGAGGCTTCCTGGTAGCTCCTAGCTCCCTCTGTGGTCAGCCCGCTCATGGCCAGAGCTGTCTGAGCAGTCCCACACAGGACCAGGGGCCTGTCACGGCAGCGCCAGTGTCTAGACGCCTCAAGGAGACCCACAGGCGGAGGGCTTTCCAGGGCCCATGCCGCCTCGGGACCCAGCCTTTCTACTCTCAGGCCTGGGACCCCTTTTCTGTACCGAAGTGCCTCTTGCTGAAACTGGGTACCCATTACCCACCCCTTCTTGTAGCCCTGGGGCCAGAGTTGTCCCTCGGGGTGAGCTGAGCACGTTTACCACCATCCGCCTCTTCTCAGAGGATACTATCTAGATATCTTTCTCGGGCCTAACCTTAAGCATGATCACTGCTGTGATGTGTCCTGAAGGACATATCTGGGCTGAAGTATTGATACTGACAATAGAAATTTTCATATTTTTGTTAAGAACTGAGGCCCTCTTGAGGTTCTCAACTTTGACTCCTGTATCCTCCATTCTTTTCCTTCTCTCGTGCCCAGAGACTGTTCACCTGAAGGCATTTGCTAGCTCTAACTGGAAACACAAACCAATCCAAAGGCAGTCAGGTCACGACTCGGGGCCTGCTGCCTGGCCTGTGGACTCACAGTAGCCTAAGCCGGGTGGACTGACCCCTCCAGAAAGTCCCAGCACCCGCTAGGAGCAGCAAGGGCTGAGAAAGGGCTGTGCCTCCCCTAAAGCCACACGGTGAATTAGAGGCAGGAGCCAGCATCAGCTCGTGGACCCCAACCCTCTTTCCACTGTGCTGGTCTGTGGCCGGCCCCAATCACAGTTACCTTAAAGTAGGACAAGAAGCTTGGCTGCACAAAAAATGCTCAGTTGAGCAGACCTGCCTTTGGCGAATCCTCACCTTGTTCCCAGCACAGGTAATGCTGCGACCAACCCGAGGCTTGGCTGTGCTTCAAGGTGCTCTTGTCAGTGTATCCTGAGTTCACAGTCAAGGCTCTGACTGCCTTTCTGGTCTGGGCTTGCTGTTCATGGAGTAGAAGCAAATGCCAGGAGCTGAGGGCCATGAGAAGCCTCAGGATCAGTTCTTTTGGCGAAGGAGCTGGAATGAGATTTTGGGAGCAAGCTTTAAGATCAAAGGGTAACCTCCCGACAAGAAGAGAGCATGTCCAGGTGTGCCGATAGGTCCAGGTATCGTCACCCTTGGTAACCAGCACCCAGATCAAGATAGAGAACACTCTCAGGGGTATTTTTTCAAGAGGCTGAGAGGAGCTGTTCTGCTTTCCACCCAGCAGGTGACAGTCTTTGTTTTCACCCCACTATTCTTCCCTACCACATGGAGCGGAGAACAACAGAGTGAAGGGACAGATGGGGGGTTGTGGAGCACAGGGACCTCCTTGACTGGGTCCCCACCCCTCCCCCCAGGCTTCCTCCAGACCCTTCCCAGACCATGTCCTTTGTAATCAGAACGAGCCCTGCCCATCTTTTATTGCCTCCCTTGGCTCCCAGGTGTAAATAGATTGTTATAATTTTTTTCTTAAAGAAAACCTCGGCTTGCTCCCATGACACACACTGACATATCTGGGCTGAAGTGGGGGCAGGGGCAGTGGGCGGGCAAAGACAGTGGGTATCGGTATACACAGGAAGGTGATGGAAAAAGGTAAAAGATGGTAAGTGAAGTGAGGGAGAGGGGCCACAGAGACTAAATTTGCCTGTTCCTCAGGGACTAAGGAAACAGTACCCAGAGTCAGCTAGACGAGGCGGGTTCAGGCTGGGTTCTCCCACCTGAGGACACAGGTCTCAGATAAGAAGGGCAGAGGATATGTAGATTATTCAGGATGCAAGAGTGTTTCTGCCCTGCTTGCCTGAGGAGGACCCAACTTTCACACTCATATAACCCAGGTGATGAAGAAATGAGATGTAAACTGAGATGGATGCTGACAAAGAATCTTGAACCCTGGGCCTCTCGGGCCCCTTCAGTGTTGGAGCTGAGAAAGCCACACTTCTGATAAACTCAGGAAAGAATACAAGAAGCCCCCAATTCTAAAACATTCCCCAACAGCTTTTGTTTTCAAGGAGCTGTTTGAGAAGATTTCGGAACCAAGAAGCCTGTAGATGGCGGCTCTGGGTGGCTGTGAGTGTAGCTGTCTCCTCTGCTTGTTGGTTCAGTTAAGCTGACCAGTGGCCATAAAAACAGCAGGACTTTGCCTTCCATTAAGTGGCGATGGCTCTAGGAGTTTACACTGGCTTTTGCCTGCTGTTACTGGACACAGAACAAAGATAAACTGACTCATGCAAGGGTCTTCTTTTGGAGGGCCAAAGCCAATGTCAGCAATGCTCACCCTATGTATCCCAAGGCCTCCAGAGTGCATTCCACTTATGGGCCATGATCTTAATTGGCTTTGCCAGCATTGTTGCTCAGCACATAGGGTCACCTCCACAAAGAGCCTCCAAGTGACCGTGCTAGGCTGTGGTGGTCCTGAGATGCCCAGGCTGGGCTGTCTTTTCCATATTTGTGTGGGATGACATTTTTGAACATCACTGCAGAATATTTACTATTTCTTTAAATGTTCAATTTGCCCCAATCTCCCGCAGCAATTCCTTTGTCTGATGGTTTTCTGCAGAATGAGGGTCATTCCTAACCAATGGTTCAGGCACCTGTCTGCTGTCTCTCCCTCACACCTGCCACTGCTCCTAATGCTTAGTCTCTGCTCATCTAATTGCAGGCTTGCAAAGATTCTGTGAAGATATAGAGATGATGATTGGATTTCAGCCAAACATTTTCTGGAAAGTCTGCTGGGCATTTGTAACCCCAACCATTTTAACTGTAAGGATTGCATGTTTTATCCCATGGACAGCACCTTGCATGTGTACGTGGGAATTTATGTTTGACAATGGTGTATGCCTTTATATGAGCCTGGGAATCTGGCGGAGTGGGAATTATCTTATCTTTCAGATGACGAAACAGAGGTTCAGAGAGGTGAAACAACACATCTAAAAGTGTTTAGCCGATCAGGTGCAGAGGCGAGACTCCTGTAGAGGAGTTTTGTGCACAAAGCAGAACACTTCCCATTATATCAGACCCCTCATGAACAGAGCAGACATCAGTCACATTTCCCTCATGGAGACCAGTCCTGGCACCATTCAAAGTGCTTTAAATATATCACCTCATCTACCCCCGTTAGCTCTGTGAAGCTGACATTAGCTCTCTCTCTTTCAAAGAGGAGAAAACTGATGCCCAGAAGTTTTGGAATTCACTTGGGATTGTGTTACAGGGATTGATTAGCAACAGCCTGGGTTTGAACACAGTCAGTCTGACTCCAAAACTCTCGCTCTTTTCTATTTCTTAACACAGCCCTTTTAGGATAAATGTAGTATACATTGGATTTTTTATTGTTCATTTTTATTGTCCTTGAGGATTCTCTTAATTGCCTTTGAAGCCTGTGCATCATGTCCTCAAATGTGATGTTGACATTCTGAGATTATCTGACATTCATCTTCTTAAATACCAGAGCTCTGTACTCATTAGTAAACCTACATGCACTCCCTGCTCCCTTTGTATTGCCATCGACTGCCACCTTTGCCTTGTTCCACTTTTCAGGCACAGCAATTGACCAATACCCTGTTTTACCTCTTTTCTGCCTGGTTGCTTGTGGGTCTCATCCCATCAGGCTAAAGAAACTGACTGTAGTTCCTAATATAGCCAGCAGGTGGCAATAGAAACCAGATTAAAGATCCTTGTTTCACTACGGGTTACCAGCTTCTCAAAAGAAAAGCATGTTAGGAAAAAAGTAGAATTAAAAAAAAAATGTTTTAGGAAAAAAGTAGAATTAAAAAAATTGTTTTTGATGTCACAGAATGAGTTTTAATCAAAACCCCTCTGTGGTGTTCTCTGCATTGGCACAGATATCACACTCCCTTTTTAGAACCTGCAATTTGTCTGAAAGTCCCACCAGATTTAGGAAATGAGAGTGGAAAGGATTAAGGTAGATTTTTTTCATTCTCTTGAATTCAGGATTGAAATGAGTGTGAAGAACTCAGATTTTCCTAATTCAGGGGAAGAGAACCTAAGACTCTGACCTTGATGTCTCATCTCACCCTTCCCCCAGTCTCTACCTGGGATTTGTCCTGGGTAAAGTCAAAGTTCCTTTTAGATTTTGCCTACCTTTCCCTCCTGGGCAGAGTCCATTTAGAGAATTTTATTCTATTCTTCAGCAGTCTGTCACATGATAACAATCAGAGCTACTATTTGTTGACAACACTTTGAATATTAGCTTGTAAACTTCTTGCCGGGCTCTGTTGGGTGGGTGACCATCCTTCCTCCTTTTCATAGGCATGTGCCCTGAGGCTGGTAGCCTGAGGGACTTGCCTAAGGCCACCCATTATGTCTTGGGGGTAACCCAGATGAGGGTGGAGTCCAGGGCTATGTAGACTAAGAAGTGAACTGATGTCTGTCTACACTTAACCCAACGCTCTAACAAATTTCTAAGAGCCCAGTGCTGTTATTTCAAGTGGACTTTGGCCAATTTTGAGTTAAAATAATCCTAATTTTTATGAGCAAATGTGAGGGAAAAGGAATCCTAAAGAATTGTTGTATTTTTTTTTTTAGATAATTCTGCAACCATCCTGGATTTACTTGATTTCCATTATATAACTACTGTCAGAACCTGTGAAGGGCTCTCAGAGTAAATCCAGAACCAGATTAACCTTCTGTGTTGCTTAGGAGCAAAGGATGGTGAATTAGAATGGTCAACTCCATCATCATCATCATCATCAAGTGATGAGTCTCTCTAGGGGTCACCTTAGGCTGCCATCAGCTAAAGGCCAAGGTGGGCCTGACTCAGGGGTTAACTATCACCTTTGGTGGTCAGGCTACTCTGAACACAGGGCGGTTGCCAGTCTCAGTTGGGAAGTATGGGAAGTATGTAGTAAAGAACAAGTTGGCACAGGCAAATTTGATGTGATATTTGTGCCACTGAAAATGAGCATCAAAGGATCAGGCCAAACACTTACTTTTGCCATTTGCCCTTCAGTAAAATGTATATTTGTGGTGTGCTGAAATGAGTTAAGATTATGGGCTTAAATTACTTTGAAATCCCTGAAAATAAAATTGATCATTTTTATATGTGCCTTCATGGATTTATAGAGCTATAAATATTCTCCATGCAATTATTGTATACATAGTCAGATCACGTTACTAAATTATGCACACACATAAGCAGATGTATTGCTATTTATATAGAAAATGAATGGAGCGACTTACCATAATTACATTAGGCCGTACTTGCAATGGACTGGTTAATAAAGCTTATAACTCTAGGGGCAAACGCTTAAAAAGGAGCCTAGAGAGGGCATGTCTTTCCACAGGAGCAGCTTCTCGTTGTACTTCCCCCTACCCTGCCCTTCCCCCCCCCCCAACAACTGTCTTCAGACTCATGTTGCTTTAAATCAATACATCAAATTATTGTTGCATTGAAATCACCACTGGTTGCTTTGAGTCATCCTGTAGATGCCTTAGCTTTATATAACGCTCACACTTTCCCCAAACACATCATCCCTTGTCTTTCCTGGCATAATTCTCTCCAATCACTTTTGGATACTAATTTTTTGCTTTAGATAGGAGCGAGGCTGGCAGGAGGGCAGGATATTTTCCTGTTGTTGGAGGCAAGATGAATACAGGGAAGAAGGCAGTTTTCTCAGGGCAGTGCTCCCCGCAGCCTTGGCAACAGCTGCTTGACCCCCTGGTCTGCATGTCTGGTGTGACTCTCCTCAGCTCACGTGTTCCCTTGTTCCTCCTCAGCTGCACTAAACACATCTTTTGTGGGTCCTCACTGCTGTTGCCCAGCCAAAGCACAAGGTGGTGAGAGATTATGAGCAGAAACTAAGTCATGACCTCACTTAAAACCGAGGTGGGGACACTTGCGAAAATGCCAGGCCGTTCTCAGAAAGCCCTGTTCTGTACACAGTGTGAACTAGATCATTTCATAGCAGAGGAATCAGAGACACACAGGTCCCTCAGCTCACTGGGGTGCAGCCAGCCTGGCCTCCTGGTGTCAGATTGTCACCCACCACTTGTTGACAAGCGAGGCCCATTCACCTTGAGTCAGTGGAGAGGGGCCAGGCATCCATTTTTTTCGCCCCACAACTAATTACAGGGCCAACCTTCCTGCTCAGTCACTGTCTGGGGACACCCAGGTCTCACTCGCCAGCTTTGAAGGCAGCTCCTAGATGCGGGCCATCCCCCAGTCCAGGAGAGAGCAAAGTAGGGTCAATTCAATTTTTTAAAATAAAAATATTAAACTGAATGGACTTTTTGCCCTTGTAACAGAAGCTTGATTACCCATAATGGAAAGAATACACACCTTAAAACATACCCCACCTCACCTGTCGTTTTTTGGTATAAGTCCTTTAACATGCCTCTTCAGCTTGTCTGTGCCCCGATGTGTGTGCTCGCACGCACACACACACGCATACACACACACACTTACTCAGTTCCTGCAGGGTCAGTGGCTACACAGGTGTCATCTGTTTCTTCATTTGGAAAATGGGTTAAAAACCTCCCTTTAGGGTCCTTGTGGCATCAGGTGAGTTCATAGATACAGAAGTGCCGCACTGCGAGCAGGGTCCTCTCACTGCTGTGTGTGTGGATTCGCCTCGTCACCACCCTAACACATGTGCTTCTTTTTCTTTCTAGTTTATCCTTTGCTTCAGCTTTTACCAGTGGGAGCCCATGACCTACGGCTCTTACCGCTACCCCAACTGGTCCATGGTGCTCGGGTGGCTGATGCTTGCCTGCTCTGTGATCTGGATCCCAATTATGTTTGTGATAAAAATGCATCTGGCTCCTGGCAGATTTATTGAGGTAATTCTCTCCTTCCTTTTCCCTGCCATCTCCTCCCAAGGGAGAAGTTCTGTATATTAAAAAACAAAAGATTTGGTAAACTTATTCTAGAGGGAGCCTCGGTGATTAAGTGATTACAGTTGCCACCGTTTCTATTAAACCCATTTTTATTATGTATTATTCCTCTAATGGGGGGCTCCACCAATCCGCAGGCTCAGCTGTTATTATGCTATTCCTCAGTGCCATGGCAGCTCTGGGGAATAAATAATCACAATGTCTGCTCTCTCCTGGGGTTTCCTCTCCTCTCCCTTCATCCAGTTTAAATTCCAGTGTTGGTTTTAAGCACACATCAGGTCTCCCCTTTCCTGATGTTCTTCTCTGTCCAAGCCTCCACCTCCAAATGTTTATTGCCATTACATTTAAAATGATGGCTCTTTCCTGTCGCGCCTGTGCCAGGGTGGCTGAGGCTTCCAAGCTGACTGAAATGTCCCTGTCCCCATCGAGTATCATGAAGGGTCCAGGGCATGGCTGGTATCAAGTGAGACTTGACTCTCTTTGGTAAAGGTCAGTTACTCGCTGGAGTCACTTCTCATGCCTCCAGATCTCTCCCCACTCCAATACCAGAGTGGATGGGAAGGGGGTTGCCATGTGTTGAACCACCAGTGACATGTGACCAGGCTTTTGTCACAGAGAAGCTGTTTGCGCTATGTTAGTAGTAGTGTGTAAGGCTTGACAAGCCGGAAGTCTGGAGCATTGGCCACGTCAGTGCTGCTTGGGGTTGGGCTTAAGGACTGTTAGTATCACCACCTTCTGGGAACTGGATGGAAATGCAGAGATGGGGCTCCGGATTGTTTCCTCTGAACCAGAATCTGGTGGAAGTGGGACCCCAGAGTCTGTAGTTTAGCGAGCCCTGAGCGATTGTCAAGTTGGAGAGGCACTGGGCTAGAGGAAGAGAAGCACCTGCTGACAGAGAGCAGCTCTGTGGGGTTTCCTCTTGATCAGCCAGACTGTGGGAAAGAGAGGAGGTCCCCGATCACCCTTAGGAGTGAAGCGAGACAGCAATAATGTGTGAGCAGTGCAGGTAGCCTTTGTTTACACTGGACAACAGATGGGGTTAACAAAAAGAGATGTGCAAGTTTTCTTCCTGAAGCAGCATCAAGTTTTCAGCCTCCGGAAATTCTTTCTATTATTCCCTTGAGGTAAATGATGTGGTCTCTGGACTCCCAGGGACAGCTTGAAATTGCCTAGATGCTACCAGCTGACCCAGAAATCTCTTTTCCTCTGAACAGGAGCTAGGTTAGCTTTTGTTACTTTTGTCTTAGGCTAACATTCTCTAAAGTGATGAGTTGGCTATATAAATTTATTATGGTTGATTTGGGACACAAAGGTTGCAAATTGATGATTAAGGGGAGATTAAACTAACAGCTATAAGAAACAGCTTTACTTTAATAGGTAATAAACACATAATTGTTCCCTCTTAGGTAGTCAGAAATATATTTTTTCCCTTTTCTAGAAATGTGTCAGTCAAATTATGTTTTCTGTGCTAAGTTCCCATTATTTTTAGCTCCTATGCAAGGACCCACACTGTTGAACCAAGTCAGAAGCATGTATTTTTGTCAACAGATAATTAAAATCTCTGCTCACTCTTGGAATGTATCTTTGGGGTTGGGTTCTTTTTTTTTTTTTTCCCAGGCCATTTATATGCTTTTGGGAAATAGGCTAAACAAAATCCAATTATTTTAATATAGCAATCCACTGTTGAGACTATGGAACAAAAGCAATTGAGTACACATCCTTCCCAGACTGTTTGGCAGTGGAGAGAGAAGCTTGCAGATTCTCTTCATTTGGAGGGAGAAATGTATAATTAAAATCTGGATCCTTTTTCTTTTATTAACCTTGAGCAATTGTAATATTGCTTGCAGGGCGATGTAAATAGTTTTTTGTTTTTTTTTTAAAAAAGATTTATTTATTTATCCATACAGAACTGGGGTATAGACCAGAGGTGTGGGGCGGTGAGAGGCTTCACCAGAGACAGAGTGGGGAGCAGAACAGGCAGATCGATGAAGTACATTACTGAGGGGAGCAGTGGGCAGGTCAAGAGAGGTCTGCTGTGCCATGTGGGATCACCTCCAGGGAGGGCGGGGTTCAAACTCATGTGGAAGCGGCTTTAGCTTCTCAGTGCTGTGCTTTAACCTGCTGCGCCACCACGGAGGGCCTGATGTAAATAGTTTTAACTGAACCAAACTTAGTCTCTTCCTTTAACATCCCTGATTTAGGTAATTAAGTGAACTGACCTCCCTAGTTGCTTCTCATGATTGGGGAGCTCCTGGCTCAAGGGAGAGTTCTGGCAAACATGGCCACACACAATTTTAGGATTGGGTGGGTGGTGCCTAGGGAGGAAGGTCCATGCTTCTATGACCTTGTGTGTCTTTGGCTTCTTTGCAGAGGCTGAAATTGGTGTGCTCGCCGCAGCCAGACTGGGGTCCGTTCTTAGCACAGCATCGTGGGGAGCGTTATAAGAACATGATCGATCCCTTGGGAACCTCTTCCTTGGGACTCAAACTGCCAGTGAAGGATTTGGAACTGGGTACTCAGTGCTAGTGCAATAGTCTGGAATGGCCCAGACTTGATCCTGTTTTTTCCTCTCTGCCTTCCCCCACATGTTTTCCCTGGCTTTCTCCCCATTTTCCTTCTTTCTCCCCACATCTTGGTTCATACCTGTGCATGAGAGTGGTTACGTAGAAAAGTAGGACATAGTGTCGCATGCCGTAGTGAAGAGCTAGACAGACCACTTGAAGCACACCATTTGCCTGTGTCCATGGTGTCAGATTCTGGTAGGGTGGTCCCCTGAGCACACGCTTTACCCCGCAGAAGTGGCTCAACAAAGGAGAACTTTTGAGTCAAGTCACAAGGACAGATGAGTGACTCGGTTGATAGAGGAGTTGCGCTGTGTGCTGTCATCAGTAATGCCACTAAGGCACGTGTTGAGAGGTACAAGACCACTCACAGGACTCAACAGTGGTGGAGGCTTGAGTTGATCCACACGCTTTCAGACAGACACAGAGAGTTCAGAGTCCAACCCTTGGAGCATCAGATACGGTTTAGATTACAATGCTGGTATGTTTGGACACCAGGGAGTGGCTGAAGTTCACAGTTCCATTACAGTTGGGGCTCTGTTTCCTTCCTTTGGACCCAACATCTGTCTTGAGTGTGCGAGAGACTCAGATACTTACCCTCTGCAAGCTGCAGTACTTAGTGAGGAGTCTGTTGGTTCTCCTCCCTAGCTATTGTCTGTTATTTTTTTAATTTTTAATAACCATATTGAATTCTTCTAGTCATTCCCTCTGTGCAAGAAGCCATCATATAATTTGTGCCTAATTTTGTATTTTCATAGTAGCGTTCCATTCCAGTTTCAACATGACATTTAGCACTATGTTTCAATGTCATGGTCCTGGTTTTCTTCTCTTCTAAACTCTTTCTATAAGCTGTAGATACTTTGTCTCAACCTCTGGGAAAACAAGACTTACCCTGGTTCTGTCTATATATTATATATATAAGACACAAACTCTTAAAAGACAAAAACTTCTCAATTTTTACTCTTAACTTTTTCATTCACAGTAAATGCCAATTGTCATCATAGAGAATTCAAAGACATGGAGAGTTTAATAGAAATCAACCGTCATATTTACTGCGCTGATAATACATTTTAGTTCTCTGTATTTATAGACATTTCTGATAAATACAGCTTAGGTAAGTAGCAAGTGAGCTAATTAAGACTATAGCTTTTAAGACTACATTTAGCCAATTCGATTTTAAGACTTCCCAATTCAAAATAATCATAACCATGCACTAATGAGAGCAAATCATGTGTCTGCAGAGACTGGCAAAGCCGTAACCTTTACTATCTTCTTGTATCCTGACCATGCATATATGAAATTTTTAAAATGTGATATGTGTTCATGTAGTATGTACTTGTACTGGTGTTTTCTGTCCTTATAGATATCTTATGAATCTCTGTAGCGATGGGGAGCTTAGAATAGTATAGTCTGGGTTTTTTTTTCCCTTACAGTAATAATATCTAGATCTAAATTGTTTCCTTTAGGGGAGACCACTTCAATCATTTTCTTATTTGGCTATCTTACCGTTACAGGGTCTCAGACAAAGTTTTCAGTTCAAATCTTATATATTGATGTGACATTTTCATCCTGTTCAACCACAATGAAACAACAGACCTTAATGTAATTTTTTAAGTGACTTCACTTTTTTGTTGTTGAAGTGTCAACTCATTTTACTGAACTCTCCCTTTTCTATGGCAAATTTCATTGCCATCGCCAGTAGCAGTGTGAACTTCCAGTTTTCAAGAGCAGCCTGTGGAAATTTTTAGAAAACTAAACAAAGATAGGTTTTGAACTTTAGCTTTTCACCTCCTCTGTCTACAGTGCACTCTGTCCTCCCCACTTGTTCTCCTTTTCTGCCTATTTCCCCAAACTAGACACTGCAAGACTCTATCACAGACAAACCCTAAGCTTCCCCTAGACTTACTTTTAGGAAGCTGAGCTGTGGCCTCACAGCTTTCGGTGTTCCCAAAGTGATCTGTCTGCCATTCACAATGGTTTCCCCACGAAAGCCATATTGAAGAGAAAACCCCATTGCTGTAGCAGATTTCACTCAGTGGTACCAAAAAGTAGCCTCTTAGTCACAATCTGGTGAATGGAGAAGGACGAGAAGGAGTAACTTAAGCTTGGCCATGATCAGCAGCCATTGCAATTTGAAGGCTGGAGAAAAGAGCTTAGCTCAATTAACTTTGTCCCATGGGGCTGGTGTGTTTGCATCAGGAACTGAGTGGTTTTTGGCTTTCCTCTCTCGCCTGTTGGCTAAAACTCGAGTCTGATGCTGGATGCCAACTCAATTTCTGCTAATTATTGCTGCTGTGATTAAAAGAAGGGGGAGAAACCATGGATGCTGACGGGTTTGTTTCGTACGCGCTGAAAGTTCATTTAATTGTGAGAATGGAGAACTCCTCAGGAGCCTTGTGGGCTGCGGTTAGGGGCAGCTACTATGGGTTCACTGGGATTTGTCCAAGTCAGACTCAACAGCTGGATTTTGCCCCTATTTCTGCCATTTCAAAGCTTTCTTTAAAATTTGCTTAAAGGCAAAACAGTCTGAATTTATCTGGACATAGTCACCTGTAGTCCTGGTTTTGCCTGTTTCTGGCCATATCTGACTTGGAGCTCTCCTGGCCAGAAGTGTGTTGTCTTCGGCCTTGTCTCCTCCCGGAATGCACTGCACAGGCCCCACTGGACAGGCGCACTGAGGGAGGACACATAGAAGGCGGCGTGGGTATCTCCGTGCTGTTAAAAGACATAGTCGACTGGACGCAAAAAAGATGAATGAATAAAATGAACACCATTGTCATCAACTGCCACGGGAGAGTCCCCCTTCAAAGTGAGGGAAAAACCAAGTTGCCGAGGAAAGACTTTCAAGGGTTCACTGTGCAATGGTGGAGCTTTTTCCACTTGTGAGATGACTTTCTAGCACCAACAAATGTCAGCACCTGAGATGACTTTCTAGCACCAACAAATGTCAGCACCCCATTCAGAGAACAAAAGAAAAGCCATATGTTCCAAACGGTAACCCTGTCATATCCTTAAAGGAGAAAAAAGTGTATGTTTCTTACTATTGGTGTTGTGGCTTCTTATGCAAATGTCAGTCTTGCCTGTAGTAACTTTCAATCTCTTTAAGGCTGTGTGTTTGTCATGTACAAATGTGTCCAGTCTGTTTTTTTTTTTTCTTTTCCACTTCTCTTTATTTATTGCATGAAATCTGTGATCAATGCAAAAATCTCGATGACTTCAACGTCTTTGGAATTTCCATTGTGTGTATAGTATGTAAAAAATGCCATCAACGCGCATTCCCATGAGAGGCACTTTAAAAAATTTCAACACAATGACTTTTAAATGGATAAGACTTGTCTTTATGCTAGTGTTGTATTGGAGTTGAATTCCTCTTTGATTAAGTTCTGAATGTGTTCTCTACGTGTGCCTCAGTGCTTCCCAACAACCTTCACCTGTCAGCATGGTTTGCCCATGCCTAAAATTCAGATTTTCCTTTCCACTGTGTTCCCTTGACCATTGTCTTCCTCCCAGAGACTTGCACAATTGCTTAATGTTTGTGTGACGGCAAGATCACAACACTGCGGTTGCACCTGGATTTGGGTTTGTGACACTCGTGTGGGAGGCAGATGGCTTGAGTGAGGGCACACTATGTGGGAGCTTGTCTTGCAGAGACCATGAATGAACATTTCCTTTGGTTCACACTGGGCAGATCAGAAACAGCCTGCAGAAAACTTCCAGGCTGGGAGCAAAGGTGTAGGTGACTTAACCTTGATACTAAGTTCTCCATAAAGTGGCTCCAGCATCTGTAGAAGTAAAGTTTCCGATCTTCTCCAGATGTGGCTTCAATGGTACAGAAAGGTCACATAACTGTGAACTGTGGTCTCACCTCTGAGCAGCCTGCAGCCAAGGAGAGATGATTTCCAGGCTGGGTGCCTATCACTTCTGAAAAGCAAGAGGTGGCTTGATTTGCCTGCCATGGATTAAATACATCTTCAGGTAACCATTTGCCTTATAGGTGTATTTTATTGTTAGGGTGATACTTAATAGTTGACTAGGATCTATTTTGTCCTCGTTGTTTGGTCTTTTTTTGCACTTTATAATGGGCCTATCATAGAATAGGTTTATTCTTAAATTGCATACTTGGCTAATGTCTAAATGCAGGCATCTGATGTGGTCCTGTTGCCTATGAATAAATATATGTTCCCTAGTCAGGTCCTTATATTTTTTCATTAACTGTACATGAAGAAAATATATTATGTTACAGATGATGCATCATATATATCTTAGAGAGAACATATTATATACTGTGCATTATTCATTTAAGAAGTCATTATTCTTGAGGCCCTACCTCAAATTTTGTATTTATGTGTACAAACGCAATTTATTGTATTATATATTTGCCTATTATATACTGATATAAATTAGAATTTATCCTAATAATGTATGAGTTCACAAAGCCCTCAATAAATGTCAGTGTTTAAAACAATGATTACAGTATTGTGTCTGTTACAAACACATCACTACATTCTTTCTTTCTTAACAAATAGCCTTCAGATATGTTCAAGATTGATCTATTTCACTGGGAGAAACCTGGAACAGCAATGGAAAACTGCCTACCAGGGAAAACGAGCTATTGCCTTGTTGCAGAAACAAATACCAATTAAATTGTTATACTTTTAACCATCAAAAATATGCTATTGTTTGCTGAATTATTAATTACTTCTCATGGGGAAGGAGGGAGAGAAAACAGGTGGGGAGTGAGCATCAAAGTGAATCTGAACAGAGGGACAGAATGAGTTAAATTCTGGGGGGTATTTTAATGATAATTTTGGCAGTCTTCAACTTTATTTCAATTCAGCAAACATTGTATAGTTAGACCCCAGGCAAAACTAAATAAAAAATAAAGCAGTCCCAGATTTCAAGGCACTCAGAGCCTTGTGGAAACACTGCCCACATTAAACAAACACGCAGCAGTCGCTACCGTTG